GGGCCAGCAGGCGGCCCAGGCTCAGGCGGCCACCGCTGCCGAAGGAGGCTCGGAAAACCAGGACGCACAGGTCCAGGAGGTGGCTGTCAGCCGAGTCCGCGCGCCTACAGCCAGACCCAGGAGGGGTCACGGGCAGCACCTGTCGTCTGTGGCTCTACTGCCCCAAGACCCCACCCTGCCCCGTTTCCACAAATCCCCCAGATCCGCCTGCCCATCCCAACCAGTGCCCTAGTCCCACCCACCCTCTCCCCCACAGACCACAGCCTCCCTCACCTGCTACCCTCCTGGAAGAGGGCAAACTCCAGGGACGCCCGCTCCAGCACGGTGAGCGCTGTCACTCCGACGGGCCCACTGGCCGAGCTGGGGAAGCAGCCCTGCACCCGCACCTCATGCCAGTCCGAGTGCACTTTGCAGATGTCCACGGAGTCGAAGTACCTGAGCAGTGAGAGGACAGCCCACTGAACAGCTCCAGACACAGGAGCCGTCCCCATCAGGAGTCCGGGCACCTCCCTAAGCCTCTCCCCCTCCCCAATCTCTGCCCCACTGTGCCCTGTCCACTTCCTGGGACCAATGTCCTAAAACCCTGGTCCTGGCTGTTGCCCATGAACACCACTAGGAGGCCCCATGCCCAAGGATGACCCAGAGAGGAAAGAGTCCTGAGGGCAGAATCCAATGCCCACAGTCTCTCTCATCACCCCCACCTCCGCCTCAGGTCTCAGAGGGACAGGCCGAGCTCCCCAGGTAGGACACACTGGGTCAGGGCAAGGGAGTGAGGGCAGCGACAGGTCAGGTGGGCCTAAGTGAGGGTGGCTAGCGCACAGGTGGCCATGAGGTAGACATCGGACGCCCAGTGCGGCAGAGTCCAGGTACCTGATGAAGTCGCTGTACTCCATCCAGAAGACACCTTCACTGCTGCCGTGCGGCATGAGCTCACCACGCAGATGCCCCGGCCAGTGTGGCCACTCATCCGACCAGCTGCCATTCCAGGAGAAGCGGCCCCATGGGTTCCGGAGGCGCAGGAGCCTGCGGACCATGAGGCTGAGGGCCATGGCTTCCCCCACACATCCACATGCCCTGGCTACCCATGGCCGGCCCAGCTCCTACCTGGAGCCCTGGACATCACGGACATCCAGGATGGAGTAGGCGTGGCGGGGGCGCAAGCCCAGGCTCTCGTAGGCAGCATCGTCCACCTTCATGTTGCCCCCCCCACAAGAGGCGCCCATGAGGAACCTGTGTAGGCAGAGTGGCCTAGCTGACTGGCAGGCTTGCTGACCAGGGGTTATTAATGATGGGGCCCCGTAGGAACCAGGAGCCTCATTCACTGAGGAGGGCTCACTCACCAGGGGACTTGTTACCCTGAGGGTGGGGGTCCTGCCTGCCTGTGGGGGAGTGCAGGTCCCAGGAACACAGGAAAGACACACAGGACTCAGGAAGTGTTGGCCTGCTCCCTACACAGTGGCCCAAGAGCTTGGGTTTGGGCTGGGAGTCGGGAGGCCTGGGTCCCATCAGCTCAGGGCCACAACTTCCTGAGGGGAGGGGGCGGTGGTCATGCCCAGTACCAGCTGAGAGCAGGGGGTCTCAGCACCAACAAGCCACCTCTCTCGGGCTTAGGATTTGGGGCCCTCCTTACAGACACGCTGGCCAATGTGTGCGGGTCTCAGAAGGCAGCCCACTCCCCCCAGGTGGCTCCATGGGCTAGCCCCACAGGTCTCCAAGCAGGTGCTGATGGTCATCATGGCCCAGGTCAGGATGAGGCCTGCTAGGTTCGGGCTGATCAGCAGTATTCTGCCTTTTGCCCTGGACCGGCAGGTGGGACCCATGAGCCAGCAGTGGGAGATGACAGGGCTGTAGGCCAGGCCTTCTAACTAACTGTGGTCAGCCCACATTGGAAACATCTTATGAAACACAGGCTGTTGGTCAGAGGGTACTTGCCCCTGAGTAGCCCACCGCTCCAGGCCCCGGCCTGGCTGTCCCCTTGCCTCCTCTTTCCTCTCCTCCCAAAGCTGCTGCCGCTGCAGCACCCGCCCCTCTTACCCAGCCTCCTTAGAACTCAGCATTTTGGCCCAGATGAGGTCAGTGTCAACGGGTTCCTCTCGGGGGTTAGTGGAGCTGACCTGCAGCGCCAGGCTCTCACAGGGGGCCCCGGTGAGGGTAGCCAGGCCTTCGATGGCGCGCCCTGCCTGGAGGGCAAAGTAGGAGCCGTGCAGCTTGGCCAGCGCCTTCTCAATGAGGGCCACCCACAGCTGCTTCCGCTGGGCCTGCAGGGAGGGGCCGAAGTCACGAGGCCCACCGAGACCCTCCCTCGCCCACCCCACGCCCATCCTCCCTACCACCTGCGAGAAGAGGAGGAAGCCGGCCTCGTCGCAGGGCAGCATGTCATCCACCAGCACCGTCGTCCACGTGCCATCCTTGCAGAGCCGCACCTGGTAGGCGCCCTCCGTGCACAGGCTGCGTGTGACCATCACCCGCTCCACCAGGTCAGGCCGCTCAGCCAGCACAGCTAGAGCACTCAGGAACCTGTGCAGAGCCGGGGCCTCACTAGAAAGCACGACCAGGCTGTCCCACCACCCGGCCCGAGCAGATACCCCAAACTCACCAGCAGTTGCCCAGCAGCCCCTGTAGGATGTCCGAGGGTCGGAGAGTGTGGAACACGGACCAGGAGGTGCTGTGGTCCCTGAAGACAGAGCAGTTGATCTCGTGGGGCCGCAGCCACTGTCTCACGCGCTGCTGGACACTGTCGCCTGCAGGGAAGCCCACAGACTTGGGCCCGGGTGGAAAGCTGTCATCCACGAAGTTCACGTTGTTCTGCAGAGACCATAGCCACATATGCTCAGGCTGAGTTGGGCTGCCCCAGGCCCGAGATGCACCTCGCTCCACCTGGCAGGCCAGCACAGCACCCTGAAGATGCTACCTGAGTCCCAGGAAAGGGGGTAGGTGTGTGTGTAGCTCCCCTGACCCGTGCGTGGTGAGCTCAGCTGTGCAGGCATGGGGGACTGTAGCCAGCCATGTCACTGAAGCCTGGCGACAGGTCAATGGGAGGTATGTGTGCCCCAAGGAAATGGTAAAGCCACAGCCTGGAGGCTGCAGAGGTGGAGGGCAGGGGGCACAGGGAACCGGGCAGCCTCCCCAGCTAGTCCGTGGCCCAGGAAGAGAGGCAGGAGGACCCAACTGGGATGGGGAAGGCAGGACACAAGACCAGATGGGCCGTGAGGGTGGGTTACTGGCAGTGACAGGGGCAGCAGCCCCCTTCTCCCAGTTGACCTGAGGGTGACACTATCCTGGGCTCAGCCCTCCCACAGCTCCAAGGACAAGAGAACCCCGAGTTTTGGCCATGTCTCCACAGCTGAAGGAAACACAGGGCCTGCCTGTTGGCATGAAGCCTGTCCCCACCTTCTTGTGGCTTCAATGTCTATGGGAAATCACACCTGAGAGGGGTCAGGACCACAGGCTAGGAGGCCATGGACTCTGTGGGCAGAGAGAAAAAAGGGACAAGATGTGGATAGTGGGGGCCAGTCACTCTCAGGTGAGGGATGAGTAGGTGCCAGGCTAATGCTCAGAGCTCGGGGAAGAGAATGCTGCCTCTCTTGCCGCTGGTCCCTCCCTCTCCGTGGCTGGAGAAGGGCCTGCAGGGAAGGACAAGATGCAGAGAGGCCCATGGGAAGGGGAGCATCGGCCCTGGTGGGCGGCTACTGTCCTGAGGGGACTCACCTCCCGGCAGAAGGCCACGATGTTCTCCCAGAGGGCCTTGGCCTCGCCCTCGTCCGTCTGCCGCCGCTTCTCCACCAGCATGCTCTCCCTGCGCCTCAGGGGCACGGCACCCCTGCGCTGGGCCTCCAGGAGCTGAGGCGTGTGGCAGGCGGCACAGTGCTTAGCCCGCGGCCCATTGAGCAGGGTGCAGGCAGGGCAGGCCCACTGGCCCGGGCGCTCAGGGGCCTCAGGAAAGAGGCGGCCGGCTTTGTGGGCAGTGCAGAGGCTGGGCTTGTCGGCGCTGCAGTCAGGGCAACGGACAGGGGGCTCGCTGTGCTCCTGGAAGCCATGTAGCTTGGAGCAGCCACACGCAGTGCACCTCGGGGCCACTGTGGGGTTCTTGAGTGTGCACTTGGCGCACGACCACGTGGTGAAGTCGGGGCTGGAAGGGCTGGCGGGCGTGTAGCGCACGGCATCGCCGGTCAGGTCGATGACGTCGCTGCCTGGAGCGGCCGCACAGGCTTCGCACAGGCTGGAGGGGCCGGGGGCGGAGCAGGAGCTGCAGCGGCGCAGCACGGAGCTGCCCTCGGCCTCCTCCTCCTCCAGAGCGCTCAGCCGCTTGCCTGACAGCAGCTCTGCCAAGCGGGAGGCCCCAGTCGAAGTCCACCCTGGGCTCTGGGGGGGCCCCTTGAAGCCAGCAGGGGGTGAGGGCTGGGTGGCCTCAGGCACCGGTGGCTGCAGCTGGGGGGGTACCTCACGGCGGCTGCGAGGCACGGGGTTGTTCTGCAGAGTGGGCGAGAAGGGGCTGAATGGTGGCACCCGGGGCGGCTCCTGGTCAGCAGCAGAGGGAGGGTCGGCCTCAGCACCTTCCCCCGGCTGGGGTGGGGCAGGTGTGATGTGGAAGCCGGCGGGGGCCACAACTTCAGGGACCACTAGGGCCTCAGGAGGAATCCTGGGCAGCGAGAGTTTCCGGGGGCCGCCACAGGCAGAGCAGGAGCTGGCGACGGGAGTGTTGTGCAGTGTGCAGCGAGGGCAGGCCCAGCCACTCCCAGGTTCTGCTGCCCCGCCCTCCTCCTCGGGCCGACCCGCAGCTGGCTCCATGGTCACCAGTTCTTCTGTCTGCACTGGACCCGTCTCCTCCTTGCAGCTGCCCTTGGGCTCCACCAGGATGGTGGGCGGCTTGGATAGGACCCCGTTGATGACTGGCAACAGGGAGGTACCAGGCACGGGCTCTGGGGCAAAGCCACACACCTCGCAGGCCTCCTTGCCCAGGAAGTTCCGGAATGTGCATCGGGCGCAAGACCATTTCTGCTCCTCAACGCTGAGCCGCAGGATCTGGTCGAGGTCAGGCTTGTGCCGGGGGGCCTCACAAATGGAGCACTGGCGCTGGCCGGCAGGGTTCAGGAAGGTGCAGCGCGCGCAGGACCACTCTCCCACCGTGGCCATGGACCCGGGCGAGTGCGTGTGGCTGCAAGGGAAGGCCCCAGTCAGTAGAGGCCCACAGGATGGGGCCCGAGTCTCCCCAGGGACGAGGGGGGTCAAGCCAGCAGGATCTGTGCCTTTCTGGGTTGTGACAGGCATCATGCCTGTGAGGGGCTTGAGGACTCTGAGGAGTAAGAGGCCCCCCAAAGCCTCCGAAGAACCCCATAGCTCTGTCCTCAAATCCTTTCTGGAGGGCGGACCTGTGGGCATAGAGGAATGGGCTGAGCCACACCATCTCAGTAACCACAGGCTCTGCTTGTGCCGCCACAGGAAAGAATAGGACTGTCCTTCTCCACAGGAGGAAGGGCACCAACAAAGCACCCAGTGAGCATCGTGCCCTGAGGTGGAAGAACGCATGCTTTCCTCCAGGTCAGGAACTCAGCAATGCAAGTCAACACTATACGGGAGGTCTAGCCAGCATAATTAGGCAAGAAAAAGAGATAAAAGGCATCTAATTGAAAGGAAGAAGTAAAACTATCTCCATTTGCAGATTAAATAATCCTACACAAAATCCCAAGAATCTACAAAATAAGAAAACAACTACTAGAGCTAATAAATGAATTCAGCAAAGTATAAGGCATGAGATCAACACACATAAATCAGCAATATTTCTGTGCCAGGAGTGACCAATCTGAAAAGGAAGTTAAGAAAACAATACTGCCCTGGCCAGTGTAACTCAGTGGTTAGGGCATCGTCCCATATACTGGAGGGTCATAGGTTCAATTCCTGGTCAGGACATATACAGTGGGGCCTTGACTTACGAGTTTAATTCGTTCGGAGACCGAGCTCATTAAGGAGCTCGTTAACTCAAATTACTCTATCAACTCAATGCAAAAAATCGGCGGAGAGACAGCTGGTATCTCAAAAAACTCGTTAGTCGGGACACCCGTAAGTCAAGGCCCCACTGTACCATGTTTTGAGTTCGATCCCTGGCCGGGGCACATGCGTGAGGCAACCAATCGGTGCTTCCTTCTCACAGTGATGTTTCTTTTTTTCTCTCCCTCTCCCTTCCTCTCTCTCTATAATCAATGAAAAGGCATGTCCTAGGGTGAGAAATAAAAAGAAAGAAAGAAAGAAAACAATACCACTTAAAATAGCACCTAAAATAAGAAAACACCTAGGAATAAATTTAACTAAGGAGGTGAAAGACTTGTATTCAGAGCTACAAGAACTGCTGAAATTAAAGACCTAAATAAATTGAAAAACATCCTATGTTCATGGATTAAAAGACAATATAATTATGATGACAATACTACTGAAAGTGATCTATAGATTCAATGCAATCCCTATCAAAATCCCTATGGCTTTTTTTTTTTCCCAGCCATGGAAAAAGCTGCTTCTAAAATTCACACCATATTACAAGAGCTCCCAAGCGGCCAAAATAATCTTGAAAAAGAGGTAGAAAGTCGACAGTGTGGTACTGGTGTAAGGACAGGCTATATGTCTATACTATGTGGTTTTTATGACCAATGGAACAGAATGGAGAGGACAGAAATAAGCCCTCACATATATGGTTGAGTGATTTTTTAACAAGGGTTCCGAGACCATTCAAAGAGGAAAAGATAGTCTTTTTAACAAATGGTGCTGGACAACTAGATATAAACACTAAAGAATGAAGTTGGGCTCTTAGCTCACAGAGTATTCAAAAATCAACTGAAAATGAACCAGTGACCTAAATGTAGGAACAAAAACCGCAGAACTCTTAGAAGAAAGCATAAGTAAAATTTCATGACCTTGGATGTAGCAATGGATTAGTTGTTATGACACAAAAGCATGGGCAAATAAAGAAAAAAATTGGACTTCAAAAAAAAAAGTGAAAAGACAACTTGCAAATGGAAGGAAATATTTTCAAAGTGTATTATCTGATAAGGGTTTTGTATCCAGAATATGGAAAGAACCCTTAAAACTAAACAACAGAAAACAACCTGTTTTAAAAATTCACAAAGGACTTGAATAGACATTTATACAAAGAAGAAAACAAACAGCCAATAAGCACATGAAAAGATGCTCATCACTAGTTATCAGGGAAACGCAAATCAGAACTTGCTGTGAGACACCACTTCACACCCACTAGGATGGCCAGAATCAAACCTGCTGGTAAGTGCTGGTGGAACTGTGGAGAAACTAGAGCCCTCCCCTACATGGCCGACAGGAATGCAAAATAATAGTGCAGCTGCTTGGAAAACAGTCTGGCAGTTCTTCAAAAAGTTAAATTGACCTACCTTATGGCTCAGCAATTACACCCATGGGTATCTACCCCAAAGAATTAAAAAGTAGTATTCTAACACACACACACACACACACACACACACACACACACACACACACACACACTCTCTCTCTCTCTCTCTCTCTCTCTCTCTCTCTCAATTCATAATAGCCAAAGATGGAAACAACCCAAATGTCCACCAATGAATAAAGAATGAAATTCTGACGCATGCTATAACATGGATGAATCTTGAAAACATGCTAAGTGAAAGGTGCCAGACACAAAAGACTACATGTTGTATGATTCCATTTGCAGGAAACGTCCAGGACAGGTAAATCCATGGAGGCAGAGAGAGGACTGGTGGTTCCAGGGGCTGGACAGCAATTGTATGCTGGGCACAGGTTTTCTTCTGGGGTGATGAAAATGTTTTGGAACTAGGTAGAAGTGTAGAAGTGATGGCTATGCATTGTGAATTTACTAAGTACCACTGAATTGTTCACTTTGAAACCGTTCTGTTACGTGAACTTCATCAGATAAAAAAAGCTCGAGTACATGAGAGGGCAAGGGTGTGCATGGTCATCTCCAAGCTGGCTCCCAGCTGCCTCTCTGCTTCTGGAGTTTCCAGGGACCCCCTGGGTAGGAGCCCAGACACGTGCTGAGGGTTAGAGGTATCTGACCATAAAATGCAGCCTAGCAGTGTTCACAGCACCCACCGAGTACATTCCTGCCTAGCGGAGGACACAGCCCTTTATAAGCACATGAAAAGATGCTCATATCCCTATGCCCAGGCCCTTGGACTGACCATCTCCAGCCATGGGTAGTGACCCATCTGCACTTCAGCAGCCCCTGAGCTCTGCAGGGGCTGAGTACTCTCCACTCATCTGCCCACTTGGACCACTGCAGGCCCAGTTCTGCCTGGCAGAGGTTCAAGGAGGCAACTCAGTGTCTTGAAGCAACATGCAAACCCTCTTCCTCTCGTAGCCCGTGTCCCAAGGTGGTGGGGGCCAGGCTGCCGAGCCTAGGGAGAGCGAGTGTTTGTGGGGAAAGGGGAGGGACACCAGTGTCCCGAGCAGCCTGTGCCAAATCGCTAGCTACAGCCGGACCTGAGAGATCCTGTGTGCAGCAGGACACTGCCCTTCTGGGATGGACGGAGACTGGCTGGGGGGAAGGCACCTGGGTGTGGCTGTAGAACTGATAACACTCAGGGTGGGCTCCACTCCACCTGGAGCTTCTATCCCAGGAGGCCTCTGGCTGTGCATCAGGGGGTAGGGAAGCTGCTGTCAGACATACCCAGGACACGTTTACACCTCAGGGGTATGGCAGACCCTCAGGCCCTGGTCCTGGAGCAGGGCCTCCAAGGGAGCCTTGATCTACAGGCCAGGTGTGGCCAGAGGACACGGAGGTGGGAGTCAGGAGACCTGCACTTGGCACCCACCTCCCACCTCCCACTCCCTTAGAGTCCCCTTGCACAGCCTGCCCAGAAAGCTGCTTGGAGCCTTGGAATGCAGCTCCCTTTGCTGGTGGGTTCTTGGGCATCTGGCCTGCCCACCTCCCCCAAGGCTGGGCCTCGGCTCCTCCCGGTGCAGAAGAAAGGCGTCAGGCCCACAGCAGGGCAGGTGGGATGCTCCCGAATGGTTCCTCCCACCCAACATGGGTCACAGGTCTGAGGGTAGGGGGAGGCTGACCCCTTAACCTGCCTCTCAAGGGCTAATCTGGCTTCAAGGGGGTGTCCATACACAACACACACTCTCCTACAGGGCTGCTCTGCTGGCAAAAAAATCAATTGTTCTCTACAACAAGGCGCGAAGCTTGTGCTTCTAATGCTAGACTCACACCAAGCCCTTTTGGTTTAGGAAGAAAGAAAACTTGCCTCTTCAATAACAAATAGAAAAATCCACCCTAGGCAACACAACTGTTTCCCAAGGTCCAAAGCAAGCTCTGTGAAGCCGCCTTCCTGCATGACTAGGCCTCGGGGTGAGCGAGTGGGCACCCAGCACCAGCATAGTGGGCTTGGCCAAGGGCCAGCTCAGCTTTAGCCCTGGCTTTGGTGCTATGTAAAACCTAAGAAATCTGCCTGGACACACTCTCAACCCTCTTCCTACTGTTCCCCATTAGAGAAGGGCCCATAGTCAAGATGTGGCATACGGTGTTCCACCCCCACCACGTGCACACACAGGTTGGGACCTAGGCAGCCTCCACCCCAACCCCAGGCTCAGGGGATGGTCACCCGTCCTGTGCACCCCACCTGGCCTGGGAGGTCTCCAGAGAAAAGACTCAGGACCCTCCTAGGACGCACCTGCCTTGGGCTCCCGGCGCCCAAGGTCCCAGGCACACTGAGCAAGGAGAGCCTTGCAAACACTGGGAGGGCAAGGATCCCAAGTCCTGCTCACTGTGTAACCCACCAGCTGGCCAGTCCCTGGCCTGGGCTGGCTGCACACAAGGCAAGGTGTCTGCTGGTCTTGGGCAGCACCTGGTGGCAGGGCAGGTCCCACAGCTGTCCTGGGGACATGGAGAATCAGGAAGATTCTGCCTGGAGTTCAGGAAGGTTTAAATGAAAATAGTGCCTAGAAATCAAATTTCGCCCTGGGGAAACAGTGAGCTGGGCAGCCTCTGGCTAGGAGGCTCTGGGGATGGTGGTGGCACAGTTACAGGACTGGCACAGTGCTCCCTCACCGACCCAGCAACCCGCACCTTACAGCTCACACCCATCTTGGTGTCATCGGTGGTGAGAAGTGGCTCAGGGGTCAGTCAGTGATGAGTGAGTGAAGGAACCCTGAGCAGGGGAGCAGCTGCTCTGGGCCACCCTCAACGGCCACCCTGACATGTCTCAGGCCCAGGAGACACTCAGCAAGGCCCAGAGACCTGAAGTCCCTGGAGTGTCCGAAGGTGAGGCCAGACCGCCAAGCAAAGCCTAGAAATAAGAGAAGGTTGGGAACCTGGAGTCAAAGCAGACCCTCAATATAAAATGTCCCCAAGTTCTATGACACTCACTCGGAGGCTCCAAGACACAGAAGCCATCACTTCCGGGGGAGGAAACTGGCTGCCCGAGCTACTCCTTCCAACAGAAAGACCAAGTAAAATGGAATATTGAGACAACTGTCCAGAAAAATCCCACAACAAATACCTTCTCTACCCTCATTATCTGAGTCACTAACACTCACTTCTAATTCAAAAGGGAGGTTACAGAATTGCTCTTGGGGCTCCCTGTGAAGTCCACACAGTGCCCAGGACATGCATGTTTGCAGGGATGTGGAGTGGCCCCATCCTGGGAGATGAGCTTTTTGCTTCTCTGGAAAGCTGAGAGCAATAGTGTCCACACACAAAGCCAAGCCACTGGACCTGAGGACGTGCGGCTGGGCTCCTGGACTCCCTGCTGGTTCCAAAATGTGCTGGAGGCCTCGTCTAGGGGTCACCTTCAGCCGGCCTTGGGTCATCCTCCTCGTCTCTGTGTCCCAAGGGAAGGCCCAGAGCTGGTACACAGCCAATGCTCACACCAAACGTTGTTTGTTCGCTTATTTACTTATCTTTGTTTGTTATTGATTTCAGAGAGGAAGGGAGAGGGAGAGAGAGAGTAGAAACATTAATGACGAGAGAGAATCACTGATTGGCTGCCTTCTGCACGCCCCCTTCTGGGGATCAAACCTGCAACCCGGGTATGTGCCCTTGACTGGAATTGAACCTGGTACCCTTCAGTCCGTAGGCCAAGGCTCTATTCACTGAGCCAAACTGGCCAGGGCCCAATAGTTTATTGATTAAGATGAGTAGCTCCTGGGGCATCAAAGTTCCTGCCCCCGACTGGCAGTGAGTTCTAGATGTGGCCACGCCTGCTCTCTTTGCTTCAGCACTGCAATGGGGCTCTCCTGGCCACGAAGGGCAAATGCTGATGTGGAGGCAGTTTCTTAGAATGAGAAAGGGCAACACCAAGTCACCAGGCTGTTGGTTTAAGGGTGTGAGTCAAGATCCAAAGTACACACACACACACACACACACACACACACACACACACACTATGCTCGCAAGGCCTCAGGAAGCTGCCTGGCCAATGCCACAGGGTCCACAGCCCCGCTGCTGCTCACCTGGGGGCCAGCCTCTTTCCCCAGGACCCGGTAATTCTACACCTACCAACTTATCCTAAGGATAAGTGAAAATAAAAAGATGTGTGTAGATAGACGGACATTTGAATAGATGCTCAACATCACCAACCATCAGGAAAATGCAAATCAAACCACCACGAGACACCACCTCACACCCACAAGAAGGGCCAGGATCAAAACCATAGATGATAAGTGTTAGCCAGGATGTGGAGAAACTAGAGCTCTCCCCTACATTGCTGATGGGGAGGCAAAATGGTATAGCTACTTTGGAAAACAGTCTAGCAGTTTCTTAGAAAGTTAAATATAGCACGGCCGGCATGGCTCAGTGGTAGAGTGTCGACCTATGAACCAGGAGGTCACGGTTCGGTTCCTGGTCAGGGCACATGCCAGGTTTCGGGCTCGATCCCCAGTGTGGGGCATGCAGCTGATTATCTATCCATCCATCCATCCATCTCTCCATTTCTAAAATAAATAAATAAATATTTTTAAAAAGTTAAATATAAATTTGCAATAAACTTCAGAAATTCCACTCCAGGTATCTACCCAAGAGAAATGAAAACATACATCACCCCAAAACTTACAAATGTTCAGAGAAGTGCAATACTTAAAAAAACAAGGGGAAACAACCCAATGTCCAGCAGCTGAGGAGTGGATAAACAGATGTGCTCCGCAGACAACGGAATGTTACGCAGTCATAAAAAGAAAGAAGCATTAACCCACGCTGTACATGGACAGACCTTGAAAACATTATGCTCAGTGAAAGAAGCTAGACACGGGACACACAGGATTCTGCTGATGTAAAATTTCTAGAAAAGGCAAATCCACAGACACACAGGAAGCAGAGTGGCTGTCCGGGGATAGAGAGGCATTGCAAACAAGCAGGATCTTTGTGGGGCATGAAGATGCCGAAAAATTGGATTGTGGTGATGGTGGCACAACTCTATAAACAGACTAAGAAAACCTGAAGTGTATACTTGCTGGGAGGGGTGAATGTGACAGTAGTACGTAAGTTATATCTCAATAAAGCTGGGATACACAAATGTTCACTAGTACATCATCAGCACAGTAACAGGGGATATTCTCTAATCATTCACTGTACCGCATTCCCAACTCTCACTAGTCCCTCCACTGTCCTGCTCCTGGCACGCCCTTTTGGACCTCAAGCCCCAACCCCCTCCCTCTCCATTCTTGCCTACTAGGTAACTTACAGACTCCAAGACTCTCCCACTCAGCTCTGCTAACCCCTCCACCCCTTCCCGGATGCCTCCTCTGCCAGGGCCTCGGGCCTCAGCTCCAATGCCATCCCAGGAGGCTGGCCCCCCTTCGGCAGGCCCATTAGGACC